ATTCTATTCTATTCTATTCTATTCTATTCTATTCTATTCTATTCTATCCTATTCTATCCTATCCTATTCTATCCTATTCTATTCCATTCCTAATTTCTATTCCAATCCTAATTTCTCTTCTCTTCTACTCTACTCTACTCTACTCTACTCTACTCTACTCTACACTACACTACACTACACTACACTACACTACACTACACTCTACTTTGCTCTGCTCTCCTCTATCCTAGTTCTATTCTATTCTATTCTACTCTACTCTACACTCTACCAACTCAGTTATTCTGTTCTGTTTAGTCTTTCTTGATGGAAGAATTAACACACGCTTCTTCCCTTTTGTGGCACGAGTGTAGCTGGGCATCGTATACACCGAAGGTGGGTTTGTGGAAGGCGTCAACAAAAAACTGGGCCTTTTTGGAGATTATATGGATACCTTCAAAGGAATCCCTTTTGGTGCCCCCACCAAGACCTTAGAAGACCCCCAGCCTCACCCCGGCTGGCCAGGTAAGATGGAAAAGACGCCTTAAATTGAATTAACTTCTGTTTTTAAACCGATAACAATTTTACTGTAGGAAATCACTTGGGGCGTCTTGAATAAAAAGACTGAAATTTCTTTCTTGACCCCTAAACGGTTTAGGTGTCTGTTCCGTTTTGATGAATGTCTGGATGTTCTACAAACCTACATTTGGGTGGGTGATTTGGCATCCTTCATCCAGGTTGTGGGGGAGGAGGGAGCTTCCAGGGTTGGTAAATTTGAGGAACGGGGCAAAAGGAGAGACACACTTTTAAATCTCCTTTTGCATCCTTCAGGACTAGAAAGTTGCGGAAGGGGTGTATGTGGATCTATTCCGAACGTGTGGATTTGAAAAATCAGTTCTGCGTTTCCTTCTGTCCTCTAGAATTAGGATTAGGACTAGGTCATTGCACGTCAACAATAGGGTCTAAATATAAGTGGGACACCATAGTAGCAACTCGGAGAGGGATCTCAGAGCCCTAGCAGACAATCACTTAAAATAGGAGCCAATGCAATCCCAGGCTGCATTAACAAGAAGGATAGAATCAAGATCAGGTGAAGTGTTAATACTGCTTTATAAAGCCTTGGTAAGACCAGACTTGGGATATTGGTCCCCATATTATAAAAAAAGATGTTGAGACTCGTCTAGAAAGAGTGCAGAGAAGAGCAACCAAGATGATTAGGGGACTGGAGGCTAAAACATACGAGGAACGGTTGCAGGAACTGGGTATGTCTAGTTTAATGAAAAGAAGGACTAGGGGAGACATGATAGCAGTCTTCCAATATCTCAGGGGCTGCCCCAAAGAAGAGGGAGTCAAGCTATTCTCCAAAGCACCCGAAGGCAGGACAAGAAGCAACGGGTGGAAACTCATCAAGGAGAGAAGCAACTTAGAACTAAGGAGAAATTCCCTGACAGTGAGAACAATTAACCAGTGGAACGACCTGCCTCCAGAAATATAACTCTGTTATTCTGTCTGCATTGGTATCCAGGAATTAAAAATACGAGTAGAGACCTCCACCACCCAATTTGATGGCTCTAAAAACTGTGTTGACGTGGGAGGTGGTTATAGATCAGACTTTTGAGATTGCCCACTTCGCCTTAAGTGAGAACACAACCAATCCTGTGGCATTTTTTTGTCCTTCAGGCACGCTTCAGGCTAACAAATATCAAAAACGTTGCATGCAATCTACTCTCACCCAGAAAGAGGTGCGTGGCTCTGAAGATTGCCTGTATCTAAACATCTGGGTCCCTCAAGGGAAGAAACAGGGTAAGGTTACGCTCGAACGTAGAATTCGCCCATCGTTTTTATTTTTTTTTACTCCTTATTCGGTTGCTGCCTTTCCAGGAAACGAGTTAACCAAGGAAGTGTCTTGTTTTGGAAACCCAGACTATGCCTGGAGCTCAGTGGTGAAATCCAAATTTTTTTTACTACTGGTTCTGTGGGCGTGGCTGGGTGGGCGTGGTGTGGCTTGGTGGGCGTGGCAAGGGAAGGATATTGCAAAATTCCCATTTCCTCCCCACTCCAGGGGAAGGATACTGTAAAATCCCCATTCCCTTCCCACTCTGGGGCCAGCCAGAGGTGGTATTTGCCGGTTCTCCGAACTACTCAAAATTTCCGCTGCCGGTTCTCCAGAACCTGTCAGAACCTGCTGGATTTTCACCCCTGCATCAGATGTGATACCCAATGAGATAAAGCTTACTTGACATGGCCTCCAGTCAACATTTGAAGATCCGTGGTTAGCTTTTTCAAGTAGCCAACTGCATTTCTTGGTCTGCTGAAGTTCAGCAGGTTGATCTCAGTGGTGGGTTCCAAAAATTTTTTACTACCGGTTCTGTGGGCGTGGCTTGGTGGGCGTAGGATGGCTTGGTGGGCGTAGCAGGGGAAGGATACTGTAAAATCTCCATTCCCACCCCACTCCAGGGGAAGGATACTGCAAAATCCCCATTTCCTCCGGATCAGCTGGGACTCGGGAGGCAGAGAATAGATGGGGGCGGGGCCAGTCAGAATTTTTACTACCGGTTCTCCGAACTACTCATAATTTCCACTACCGGTTCTCCAGAACTGGTCAGAACCTGCTTGATCTGATATATGGGGTTGGACTAGAAGACCTCCGAGGTCCCTTCCATCTCTATTCTGATTGATTGATTGATCTGGACATTCTCATTCAAGGCGGAGTCGAAACTTGTTTCTTGTCTGCTTCATGTTTTTCTTTGCATCGCCATCTCTCCCTGTGCTTCAGTCTCCACCAACTTGCCGGTGATGGTCTGGATTTACGGCGGGGCCTTCATCTGGGGAGGTGGACAGGGGGCCAACTTCCTGAATAATTATTTGTACGACGGGGAGGAAATTGCCAGCCGCGGGAAGGTGATCGTGGTGACCTTCAATTACCGGCTTGGCCCGTTGGGTTTCCTAAGTACTGGAGACGCAGCTCTTCCAGGTAAGTTCAGCTCTTGGAGAATTTTGCTCTTCTCCGTCCGTCGTCAGACGAAGATCTTACGATTGCGCATCGTTGTTTTAGTTTTCAGTTACTTTTAATTCGTGACTTTTAGTAGCAAGGTTTCCATTTATTTGTCCATCGATCCATCCGGACTCCTGAACAAATGACATAGAAAAA